AGTGGGATTCGACTCATGGGTGTGGTACATGACAACCTCCCCTTTTTCGGCAGCATGTAGGCCCTTATGTCTCCTTTATGATGGCATTGCTGCCCAAATTTTGCCAACGTTCTTCAGCCTTTTTGTGCAATCGTATCCTAGATTCTTCATCAAAGTTGGCCACTACTTTCCACTCAAAGCCAACTTTTGAATGTATCTCTCCGTTGGTGGGAGTCAGACTGTTTCAATAAACCTTTTCTTAATTTACTCCTGATTAGATCATTTTTGGTGAAGCCATATAATACGAAGTTTTACGCTTAAAAAAATAAATGTTCTTGGTAGATGTAGGACTTGGGACACCCAACAGAATTTGTATGCAAGATGAGCTTGTAGGAGTGCCAATCAACCAAGTCATCAGATTTGAGAATAAGGTGGGATTAAGGGTGTAATTTGGACGGGTTCGAGAGGTTAATCTTAATTTAACCCTAAGTATAAAATTTTTAATTTTAATCGTAACCTTAATATTAACTCGACTTCAACCCAAAGTACTCAACCCAAATATTGCCCAAATTAAATTTGGGTGTGCTCAAATTGAATTCGATTTACTCAATTCAAACTTATTTTGAGTTTAAATTCGGGTTGGGTTTGTTCAGGCTTAAAATCAGTCTGTTGTTTTAAATCTGATACATATTATATAATATTCACCTGAAGTAATAATTAGAAACTTCAATCAAATGTTTAACATAAAGACTATAGTATTTAAAGCATAAAAAAAATATACTAGACAAAAACTAAATTACATTTTTGTTAACATAAAAACAGAATAACCACAATAGCCGAATAGCCATAATAGTCAAATTAATATAAAAAAGCATATTAAACTCAATCTTTAACCATAATATTCGGATTGAGCTTGATTAAATATTTGAAATGAACCCGGTAAGTTGAAGCCTCAATTCAAGTATTGCCCAAATTCAATTCGGATTGATATTTTTCAAACCAAACTCAACTCAAGTAGTAAAAACTTTAACCCAAGTCTTGTCTTTTTTAGGTTGGNTTTTTTTTTTTTATTTAAAGTAAAGCTATTAAAATTAAAAAAAAAAAAATTTAATTTATTAACATAATAACGTAACAAGTGACATAGTCTCAATGAAAATATCTAAAAATTATAATGATAACAAAATTATTGAATTATGTCACAATCATATCATTAAGTAAATACCTTTTATAAATTTTGTAGGTCCCATTAATATAATTTTTAATTTTTTTTAATGCTGGAGCACTGTTGAAGGGTGTGATGAGATCATATATCTCTGAGTGGGATTCGACTCATGGGTGTGGTACATGACAACCTCCCCTTTTTCGGCAGCATGTAGGCCCTTATGTCTCCTTTATGATGGCATTGCTGCCCAAATTTTGCCAACGTTCTTCAGCCTTTTTGTGCAATCGTATCCTAGATTCTTCATCAAAGTTGGCCACTACTTTCCACTCAAAGCCAACTTTTGAATGTATCTCTCCGTTGGTGGGAGTCAGACTGTTTCAATAAACCTTTTCTTAATTTACTCCTGATTAGATCATTTTTGGTGAAGCCATATAATACGAAGTTTTACGCTTAAAAAAATAAATGTTCTTGGTAGATGTAGGACTTGGGACACCCAACAGAATTTGTATGCAAGATGAGCTTGTAGGAGTGCCAATCAACCAAGTCATCAGATTTGAGAATAAGGTGGGATTAAGGGTGTAATTTGGACGGGTTCGAGAGGTTAATCTTAATTTAACCCTAAGTATAAAATTTTTAATTTTAATCGTAACCTTAATATTAACTCGACTTCAACCCAAAGTACTCAACCCAAATATTGCCCAAATTAAATTTGGGTGTGCTCAAATTGAATTCGATTTACTCAATTCAAACTTATTTTGAGTTTAAATTCGGGTTGGGTTTGTTCAGGCTTAAAATCAGTCTGTTGTTTTAAATCTGATACATATTATATAATATTCACCTGAAGTAATAATTAGAAACTTCAATCAAATGTTTAACATAAAGACTATAGTATTTAAAGCATAAAAAAAATATACTAGACAAAAACTAAATTACATTTTTGTTAACATAAAAACAGAATAACCACAATAGCCGAATAGCCATAATAGTCAAATTAATATAAAAAAGCATATTAAACTCAATCTTTAACCATAATATTCGGATTGAGCTTGATTAAATATTTGAAATGAACCCGGTAAGTTGAAGCCTCAATTCAAGTATTGCCCAAATTCAATTCGGATTGATATTTTTCAAACCAAACTCAACTCAAGTAGTAAAAACTTTAACCCAAGTCTTGTCTTTTTTAGGTTGGATTTGAATTGACTCATCCAAGTTACACTCTTAAGTAGAATCCCAGATTCTAGGAGCCGGTGAATCACTGATCAAAGAGCAAATTTTGGAGTCTTGTGTGAGCTTCCCGCCTGCTTATATTCCTTACCAGCAACCAATTGGCTCGTTGCCGCTATACATCGAACGCTAATTTCTGACTAAAGGACTAAAAATGAACACAAGACTTTTAAGATCAAACTCAAGAAAACGGAGAGAAATAACAACAACGAAGTGACATTGACTAAATATGAAATTTTGTTTAAATTATATTCACTTAGAACCCACTATATTTATGAATATTGTTTGGAATTTGATAGTTTCCCATAAAAACAACCGAGCAATAGTGTACTGTAATGAACATGGATCGTAGTTCAAGAATTTGACCATCATCTCTTACTTGAGAAAATAATAAGGCGCATCCTTTTTGCCTTTGTGCGTGTGTGCAGCATTACTCCGGTGGAGGTTTCAAAAATTATATCTAGCATACTATTATTAATTTTGAAGACCATACTACATAAGTTTATCTCTTAAATACAATATACCATCCCGTGAAAATGAATTTCTATATCCGTCACTCACTCTATATTCAAGTGTTTTCGCTTCTAGGAAAATGGCCCTTTTAACACTGACAATACTAAAATTACATTGGAAACTATAAGTCATAAAAATCAATAAATAACTCGTCTTTTTAATATTTTATAAATGCTCAAAATTCAAAACTAAATAAAATTTTATTTTTATTCTCGTGGATTGAATGAGTTGAGCAGGCCCCTCTCTACGTGGATGGCTTAGTCGGCCATGGCTTGATGGGATTGCTTTTACTAGGCCTTTGAACACAAGAAGGGCCCAAACCCTCACTAAACCAACGTATTAACTAACAAATCCTCAACACCTCCCCCAACACCACGTCAAAACTCAAACTTCTCTTTGCTTGTCACAAAAAATAATAATAATAATAATAATAAAGTGAGAGATAGGGCAACATAACAAAAATATGTGCGCACTAACTTACGTGTATTTCAACTAATTTCTTCTCTGGTTTAATTAAATATAGGTTGTCCTCATCAGAATTAGTGTATTCATTAGAGATAATTCGTCTTGGCTTGACTCCAAGGGAATGTCAAGACTTTCTAGGAGATATATATATTGCTGATTCAAAAATATCAATTGATGGAGAACAATTATACACTACACTACCATGTTGTCTCTTTGAGCCCTAAAAGAAAAATAAAATTTCTGAAAATTCTCTTCTAGGAGCATCTCCAAACCACTCTCTATTTCTTCACTTTTAACTACTTTAGCTAGAATGGCTCACCAAATGTGGTGAGCCATTTGAGCTCTCTAAATTCTCTCTATCTCTCTCTCTATATATATTTTATTTCTTTTAAATTATTGAAAGTTAGTGAAAGTTGGGTGTAGTAGTTAGCTAAAATAGAGAGTATGGTTTGAGTGAATTTATAAAAATGATTAGGTAAAATAGTGAATATAATATTTAAATATATTTTAATTAACTATTTTAAAAAGGGGGTCGGAAATGCTCTAACAGCATATTGTTCAGTTCCATTTTTTGCGTGTTCCCTCGCCTGCCCAAGAGTCTTGGACTACACAAGGGCAAAATTAATTGGGCTTTCACTCTCTTCTGGTTCATAAAGACCAGCCTATTAGTACGTGATTTACGAGTGGAATGAACATGAGTTACGCACCTTTTTAGGTCAAAGTTTATAGGACCTGCCTATTAGTAGAATTTGAAAGAGAGTTTGTTTCCGCCAATCAACAATTAGCATGCTAAGCTAAAATTAACCACTTAGAGAACGTGGAGCTTTTTTTTTTCTCCGTTGTTTGTCTTAATTAGTGGATTCCGATTCTTTGTCAATGTATACGGTGAATGACATTAGAAGAGTGGAATCAATTACTAATACCCATTAGTTAGATAGACTGGTATGTTCTTTAATGTATCAAAAATGTGAGTGATTTTATTTCCAATTCCTTCCTTATTCGATTAGGGTTTACTATGCAAATTAGAAAACTATTAAATGGGCTACTTATATTAAAAATAAAACCAAAAATCATGCTATTGGTACATAATTTGAAGACATAATTTAAGGATTTAAAGATTATAGCTACTAAATTGTCAGTGAGTCTCAGTATTAAATTATTAGTTGGTCATAATACTATCATTTCAATGGTCACGCCAAATTATATTTCTTAATTATATCTTTGTGTTAAAATTATAGCATATAACATAGATTTTATCCCCCGCGCCGCGGCCAGCCTCTCTAAGTTCCATCATTTTCCACGAGTATATGCTGCAGGATACGATCATATTCATAGTAAACTATATATTAACACTTACTGTACTGAATACCTAATTAAAGTCAGTATTATCGAATGGTGGTTCGGGTCATAAGTAATGCAATCAATCAAAATATTCGACTTCCTGGAAGCGGCCTCCTGCATAGCCTACCATTATTCGCTTTCCTATTAGCTAGCAGCTCCTAATTTCCCCTTGGACGACACAATATTAGGTTAGATTGTGGGACTTGCCGTCCCTCATTGAGCAGCGACAAAAACTGGCCTTAGGAAATGCTAATGTCTCAGTTTGTGTCCAGGCCATGCGTTAAGAGCTAAGAAAATGTCTTTATAAACAAGAAAAATGGCCACCCCTCTCAAGTCTTCATTGTTGTCAAATCTCTCTAACCAAAACATGTCTGCTCATCAAAGCCCACCACCGAGTCCCACCACCTCCGTCTCTTCTAAACACCAGCCAAATATTGTCGGCAATCTAGACGGCACGTACACGCGATTCCTTCAATTCCCATGCACGGCCGCTTCGCAAGGTGACGACGGCTACAGCCCAGTTCTCACCAAAGACATGCCATTAAACCCCGAGAAACAAACATGGGTCCGTATATTCCTTCCCCGGCAAGCCCTTCACTCTTGTGCCCCTTCAAAACTCCCTCTCATAGTCTACTTTCATGGCGGAGGGTTTGTCTTTCTTAGTGCAGCTTCCACTGATATTCATAATTTTTGCTTAGACATGGCTACCCAACTCTTCGCCGTTATCGTCTCTGTCGAGTACCGCCTCGCTCCGGAACACCGACTCCCTGCGGCCTACGACGACGCCGTTGAAGCCTTGAATTATATCAAGTCCACCCAAGAGAAGTGGTTAAGTGCATGTGCCGATTTTGATAACTGTTTTCTCATGGGCACTAGTGCAGGGGGTAACATAGCTTACCATGCAGGACTACGTGTGGCTGAAGATTTTGATGGGTTTAACCCGTTAAAAATTAAAGGGTTGATTTTGCACCACCCCTTTTTTGGAGGGTCCGAGAGGACCCAATCCGAGCTGAGTTTGGCGAACGGACCTGTTTTGACCCTGTCAGGGACTGATCTTATGTGGAAGTTGTCTTTGCCTATTGGTTCGGATCGTGACCATGAGTATTCCAATCCAATGGTGGGTGGTGGATCGGAGCAGTTGGAGCTGATTCGGTCAATGGGTTTTCGGATCTTGGTGGCTGGTTGTTATGGAGACTTGTTGATTGACCGTCAAGTTGAGTTCACCAAGATGTTGGAGAAGAAGGGAATAAAGACCGTGGCATATCTTGAAGAGGGTTACCATGCCATAGAGCTATCAGAGACATCAAAATCTAAGGAGCTGTTTGCTGTTATTAAAGCTTTCATTAAGTGACCATCACAGATCCGGATGGTCAAGGGCTCATCATATAAATGACAGAGTTTAAGGTTCAAATCTTATAAGAGATGAAGTGAAGATAAATATTGTGGGAAAAAAAATAAGTTCTAAGTAAATGAAGACTTTGAATAATAGTTATGAAGTCCAAACTGTCATCAATCCAACAAAGAAATCGGATTATTCGGTCACTAGTTCAATTGTTAGATTTATTAGTTGAACCTTTTAAATAAAAAAAAATAAGAGTAATTAAAATGCCTAAGAGACATTAAAAAAAAAATATATATATATATATAAAGAGAGAGAGAGAGAGAGAGAGAGAGAGAGAGAGGTTAATTCAAAGTTGATATGTAAGTTTAAACTTACTCTCAAAGTCGTATTACCGTGGGATTCGAGTTTCACCTATTGTCCCTCTCCTGTATGAATAGTGAATAGTGACAAAAAAAAAAAAAAGACGTGGGATTCCAATTCAAAACACCAAAAAACCTATGTAAGATTACCACTTGTAGGCTCATATGTGTACCCAAAGCCCAAATGACAGTGAAGATAAACAAGACCAGGCCCCAGATGGAGAATGCTTTGGTATAACAAGTTTCTTTTTTTTTTTTTGTACCAATTTATTCCTCCATTTTCATGTTTAACAGCATGTATTCTAAACAAGTTGCGCTTGAATAAGACTCGTTTAGAAAAAGCTCAGTTCGAGTTTGTAAAATTTAACTTATTTATATGTAAAATCGAGCTATTCTCATTTTTTAAATGAGTCAAAATTAAACAATTTTTTAAACTTATTTAAAAAAACAAGCTCAATAAGTTGAGCTAGATTATTAGCTCTACATATAAATTATTTTATGAAATAGTGACACCTATACTTTTATTTTTGATGAAATTAATATTTTACTTAAAATAATATTACTAGATGGTACAATAATTTATCGTACTTTTGTCAAATTTAGATGTCTAAAGTGTACTTTTTCTTTTTTTTAAGTGGATCCCACATTAATACATGACTAACAATCTAACATTGACAAAAAAATTTTAAAAAATAAAATGGGGAGGGTGGGGATCTGGATCCAATTTTACCTCTCATTTGTACCATTGCATGGATGGTTCAAGGTAAAAACTTGGGCCTGCAGTTAAGGTCATGGGCCTTTTAATATTGGATCCACTTCTATTGGATCCAAATGACTTGAACCCATAACATGCATTCGTGCCAACAAAGCCCATCATTTTTTGCCTTCCAAGTGTTGGGTTAAATTTTTTCCGCTTTTGCTCTCCTAAGTTTATGTTTCTTATTTTTGGCCCCGGGTTCGTGCTATGCGATTAAGGAAGGGTAGCAAAGCATCCTTATTTCTCCCTTACTCGACCCCCACAATCACTCCGAATCGCACCCCTAACATACACCTTACTGAATTTCCGATCCCTCTTCTATTCTAGATCATTTGAATTTGAGCCGAAATTTAAACACACTACAACAAATTTGTTTTTTAGTGGATGGATTTCATTTTTGGTGACAAATCTTTTGTTGTCGCAACAAACTTTTTCAGGTAATCTTAAGGCAACAAAATAAGTTCGTTCCTCAAAAGTTTTAGCGATCAAATTTTTACATTTTTTGACGAGTTAGTTCCATCGTTAAAAGCCAAATTTATTATAGTAACCGTCTAGAACAGCCCAGACAATCGAATAATTTCGTTTGATCTTACAATGATATTATGTTATCCCTCAAAAATTACACGATGAGTTGACCAAATCTTGACCGTTTCATTTCTATTGTGGGGCTATGAACAATCATATAACACGAGAGCAAAGTGGGGCAAAGCTTTTTTTTTAAAAAAAAACTCCAACTATGATTTGCCAATTAATTAAATAATGCTAATTAATTAAATCACTAACCACCTTGTCAGTGATAAAGCCTTTACGTGCACTCCCATGCAGCTTTAGACTTCACTCGAGTCGTTTTCAAGCATATCACAAACAAACGAAAATTACTTTAACAAAGCCATTTGAGTTGGTGCTTTTCTTTGGCCACCTTTCGAAAATCGGGAATTTTTGTCAAATTTATAATGTTTTTGATTACGTGGCAACATCAAAGCTTAGCTAGCCACGATTAAAATCTTAATTAAAATAGGATTCAATTCAATGTACTTACCATTTCTCCAGAAAAAGACCGTATACATTGTCAAATTCAGTATCACATCTGAAAAAAAAAAGTTATATCTCAATTGAGTTTAATTTTAAGTTGATAGATCAAATTTACGATACATCATCGGGATTCAAGAAAAGTTGAGGTTTATTATCTTAACATTCATTATTTTGTAATTTAATCAACTCAAATTTTGAATCATAACTCACGATAAAGGATAAAGGATGGAGGGGGAGGGGTGCATGCATGATATGACAGCACATGCAATTCATTACCAAAAGAGATTGGTGGAAGAAAAGACAGAGAAATAAGAGAGATTAGACCATGTAGAGATTAATTAAATAAACTTCATTAGTGTGCCAAATCCTGGCAAGTAATTATGGAATACGATCTTAAAGTAAAATATCAGTCGTTATGTATAACAAACCAGGAGTCCCAACTTGATGTATGCACTTTGTCATTACCTGCTCGTATAGCTCTGAATTGCCAACTTGGCAATTGGTTATTAACATCTTGATTATTAGAGAAAAAGTCCTCCTTTCATTCTTGTTTTTACTGCTGTGGCTAAAACCATTTCCTTGGTTGAATGCATAAAAAAATAACATTATATAAGATAATGTTTTAAAAGATTGAGACAAACCATTAGAGCTATCATTTTTAAAAATTTACTCTACACATACGCAACACATTACAATTGTATATATTTGTATTTGTGTTATATTAATTTGGTGTCGTTTAGTCGAATTCATATTGTGTTCAATCAGGTTCAGATCGATCTATTTATTTAATGGATCTAACTATAGTCCATCCGTTTATCACCTTGATCATCTAAAAATTAATTCCCGAGCTACTAATTTTCATGCCAAATTCATGGGTAGTGTTTAAAAATATCCGCCCTCTTGGTTAAAAGACAAAAGAAAAAAAAACATACACACACACACACACAAAATGGGTTAGCCCCAAAAACTCTAGCAAATAGAGGTATGAAAAAAGATGAAAAATCAAGGCTAGGATTTGGATAGATATGTGGGTGTTTTTTCTAAGCGAGTACAATATGAGAGGAGGCCATCTGATTGTAGCATTGTTGTTTTTCCTTCTGTTTACAAGTGTGCTCTATATTATAATAGCCACATAGCTATCCTTTTGTTTGCAATTTGTTGTGACAATATAATAATCAACGCAATTATCAATAAAAACAAGGATTATTTGTCTTCTTTCAACCAATTATCAGACCCTTCATCCTCATGTGCATATTGGACAAGTTCAACAAGGCTAGCTATATAGGAGGCCCCATGCAGGAAGAAAATCTCTCATGCCCAAAAATCCTCTACAGCTGTTGGCTGTCGCTTGATTTTCTGCCGTGACCAATCACATCCCACCGTATTAACTAAGCTGCAGAGTTATCAAAGATTGAAATAGTAATTAACATAATGTGGGACCCAATGAATAGGATGCTCTTTGGGTTTGGTTTCAATATTGACAACCCTAATGGCATAGATAGGTTTAAGGCTGGCAAAGAGCAGGATTTTAGTCATAAGTGAAAGAGAATCTGAATTGCTGTTTAGTGTACCATCACCTAAAGTACTTAGAGCTGGATTGTGGGCACCTGGAACAAATTCAAGGTTTTAAATTGAAGAAAAAAAAAGAATTAAAGTAGGATATGAAAAGATACCAATGATGCCAAAACATGAGTGAGTTGGACGTGGCCAGAGCCTATTATTACAACCTACGAAGCATCCAAAAAGATTACGTTTTTTTTGGGTAACTTGAAATTATTTCAAATATGCATTCTTTTACTCACAATTCACCTATAAATCTTTACGCATCGACTAGACTCTGATTTTATGCGACCACAGGAATTCAAACTGCGAAAGTACATATTTACACCTTGGCCTTCATTCATCCAATCAACCAACCCATGTAGGCTTAAAAAATTAAATCTTCCTACTTTTAGTTTTGTTTAATCACCTATTTTGATGCCTGAAAGTTAGATCCGTTGGCCATTCTCGTACCAGCCTGTTTTTACGTTTTTAAAGAAATACAACATGTGTTAAAACATATTAATTGTTGTTTGGTGGAGGTCAATTTACACCAAGACCAACCACTTCCATTAATCCCTCTGATCATAGGTTCCTATTATAGAAACAAGACAAGCAAAATATAAAACTTTTTTAAGTTTGGAACATGATAGGTTTGGGTACTTTGTCTACTAGCTAGCTTTGAAATGCTATCTTTGCCAAGATCAATCCATAGAGATGAAAATATTGCATCTGTCTAATATTTGCTAGGAAAGTCAAGGCACTGCACCTAGCTCATTGTGATTGGGGTTCCATTATATTCAAAGTACACGTTACATAAGATTTACAGTGACTACAATAGGACATGTTTGTAATAAGGAAGAGCAAATATCAAGGGCAGCATTAATTGTGACCTGGACAAATTGTCACATTCGTGTCACAAGTTCGATTCATATGAATAACTTGCACAAATAACATTGTTTACATCTAACCATCCGTAGACCATATAGATAGAAGTCTCATCCACTAAACTTCTTCTTTTATGTCAAGAATGAGTAAAATCTCGGTTTGTAACAAACAAGTTGATGATGGTCATACCATTGAACCGCACGAGAACCTAATATCCAATAGTGTGGTGGTGAAATGCGTAAATTGGATACACACCTAACATGATAAACAAACTTCTTGTTTGGACTTGTTTTTTACCGCTAGAAATGTTTTGCTTGTATGCAAATAGTGTAGGGTAGTTCATGAACTTCAGGATAACCCATCACTGATCAGATGAAAAGAAAAATAGAGGATGCTCTGAACATAAACAAAAGTATAGTTCAATATACGAGACT